GAGAGAGAGAGAGAGAGAGAGAGAGAGAGAGAGAGAGAGAGAGAGAGAGAGACATAGAGACAGACAGACAGATAGACAGACAGACAGATTAGGACAAAAGAGACAATGGAGAATAACACAGTGCTTCCACTATAGAGCCACCTGGAATAGAGCTTAGAACACAGACTAAAAATTCCTCATCCAAATGCATATACTTTGATGAAACACTGGAAATGAAAGTAGGGCAATTTATTAAAAATTCCATTTAATATCCAAAAAGTCTCCATAACCCTTATAGTTAGAGAGCTATGGGACTACTAGTACAAAACAGGACCCATGTATGAAGCAAAACCCTACAGGATTTTTCACTGGTTATTCAGAAGTACCCAATCTAACACTGCTATTTCCAGGAGGAAATACCAGTAAGAGTTATTACACGAGCCATCTAGCAGTGTTGAACACTATAGATTTCTATGTTTAAGTTTATTTAGAGACTAATAAAAGACAAAGGAAGTCAGTTACTAGATTATTAATCAACTAATGGCTTTCTGACTTCATAGTCATTTTTCTAACTAAACCTCATTTATACAAACTGTTGTGTTGAACAGACAGATAAGGTTTCAGAGTTCTGAGGATTACTGCCTGCTTGCAAAGCTTGTAAAATGTCAAGGGGAGCATGTTCTTTATTTTTATTTTTTATTTTTAAAGAATACAAAATGGTAGAAAAAAAAGATACAAAATTTCATTAAACAAACTAATAGGAATTTGACAATGGTTGTACTGCATAATGTTATCTTCAAATTAATTGTTTAGGTTACCAGCCATAAACCTGCAAAATTGGTTTAAAAATAAACAAACAAATAGATAAATAAACAAAGAAGTCATAAGAGGGGTGGGGAGGTACCTTGGTAATACAAGTGCCAGGCTGGCAAGTGCAAGGATTTAGGTTCAATCCCTGGTACCACATACTGTGGAAACCTCAGCGCACTGTGTGGGCCACCACAATGACAGGATAGCAGATGCCTATAATCCCAGCACTGGGGAGGCCTGAGACAGGAGGATCACTGATTCTCAGCTGCATAGTGAGACTTTGTACCAAATAAAGTTTTTTTTTCAAAGTTTTATTGATAAACAGATAGCAATGAGACAGTTTCAAATCTAATCGGAAGTACAGTTTCAATAAATAATACACTGCATATATTCTTCTTAGTGGTTAATTGCTGTACAAGATGCGGACTTGTGATCCTATTTACAAACACCATTAGAGGCCTTTCGGTCCTCTCCTGCATGAGAGCAGACTGGGGGGCCCTGAGCTCAGTGACAAATACCATTAGAACAAATCATTCTATTCATTAAGAGAATGCAACTATATATCTATCCCAACCACTTT